TGTTTGTTCAAAGATTTCACTGACTATGTACTTTCCTCCCCCCCCCCCACATCAGTTGGAACAGAGAAAAGGACAAGGAATGGCTACAATTTCTCATGTATCATACCGGTAGGAAATGAGTTTATTCATAGCTAGTGCATTTAATTCTGACTTTTCTTCCATTTAATTTTGTGTGTGCAATGTCAGCCTTTTGGTCAGAGCTGTCAGAAGGAGATCAAAGTACCTGGTGCTTATTTCACAGATGCTCTAATTAGGCTTTTACATTCACTGACTAGGTTGTTTCAATTGGTCACAGCATAGCCTGTCTGTTGCCTTTTTTTAGTGAAGAAGAAATGGGGTTCAAAGTAGTCATAATTTGAGGATAGGGAAATCAAGTGTTTGTTGTGGTCAATAAGGTCAATGGAATGCTAAGAAAACAACAACCCCATGAAAAACATCCCAGATGGTGTTCATACTCATGGGACAGGCTCCTCTTGGAATAATGGCTCTTGCTGTTTGATATACACCATGCAGGATGTAGAGCAGTGGTTTTCAACCTATGGGCCATGATCCTCATAGGCAGTGGAAGGACCCTTTCACAAAGGTCACATATCAGATATCCTGCATGTCAGCTATTTACATCACAATTGATAACAGTAGCGAAATTACAACAACAAAAGAATTTTATGGCTGAGCGTCACCACAGCATGAGGAACTGTATTAAAAGGTCACAGCATTAAGAAGGTTGAGAACTACTGATATAGAGCCAAAGGTGGCTCATGATGAGATCAATGATATGTACAAGGTGCTGGATTGAGGGCCAACTGCAATGGAGAGATTAAAAGAGTCTTCTTTACAGTGGAAATAGGAACTTGGAGAAGAAAAAAGCTCCAATTAGAAGGGGTAGAATGCATGGGGCTTAATTTACCATCTATAGGTCAGGGAAAAGATAAGGCATTCTTTTGATTTGCCATATGGAGAAGCTTGATGTGAAGGCAGGGGTGTCTAACTTCCGGTAATATTAGGATGCTCAGTAAGCATGTTCATCAAAAGCTGTATGCAAAATGGAAATGGAAAAAAAAAGGTGTAGGCAAGTTTATGAATCTGAAATATTCTCTCTAGTAGAATACCAGAGTAATCTAGAATATTTAATGTCCTTACTGAGGTCAAGGACAGCTCTAATTTTTTTATTATCTTTTAGTGGATAAAAATACTTGGTAGAGTTTGCAGGAAACGTTATCTTCCTAAATCTCAGTTCTCTCATCTGTAGAATGGGAATAATAACATCACTATCTCATAAGGCTGTAGTGAGAATGAAGTGAATCAAAACATGTGGAGCAAGAACTCCACAAATGTTCCTTACCATTATCATCCTTAGTCTATTCTAGGACTCAGCCTTCTGCAGAACACCTCTGTATAGACTAACTGCACATGTGTCAATTTGCCTTCTTGCAGTAAAGATGAATAAATTGAAGGACCAGGACAATAAAAAGGTTTCTTTCAAATAATAACTCCTGAGTACTCTGTCTTCACTATTAATTACTACAAACTCCTAGAGAAATCTTCTGGCTAGGCTGTTTTCAACATAATACAAATGTTGTGGACCATTCTTTTTTTTTTTTTGCCTTTTAAAAATTTTTATTATTAGTTACATTTTATTAACTCTGTATCCCAGCTGTATCTCGCTCCCTCATCTCCTCCCTGACCCTTTCCCTCATCTCCCTGACCCTTTCCGAGTCTACTGATTGGGGAGGACCTCCTCCCCATTCATCTGACCCTGTTTTATCAGGTATCTTCAGGACTGGCTACAAAGTCCTCCTCTGTGGCGTAGCAGGACTGCTCCTCCCTTGGGGGTTGGGGAGGTCAAAGAGCCTGATACTGAGTTCCTGTCAGAAATAGTCCCTGTTCCCCTTACTATGGGAAACCAATTGGTTACTGAGCTACCATGGGCTACATCCGAGCAGAAGTTCTAGGTTATATCCATACATGGTCCTTGGTTGAATGTCAGTCTCAGAAAAGACCCCTATGCCCAGATATATCTGGTCCTTGTGGAGCTCCTATCCTTTCCACATCATACTAACTCCACCTTCTTTCATATGATTCCCTGCACTCTGCCGAAAGTTTGGTTATGAGTCTTAGTATCTGCTTTGATACACTGCTAGGTAGAGTCTTTCAGAGGCCCTCTGCAGTAGGCTGTTGTCCTGTTACTTGTTTTCTCCTACGGTGGACCATTCTTTTGAAAATAGGTTTTGGATTGTCCTTTTTGATGCATGCAAGAAAATGTATCAGATTATTTCCATGTATTGTCTTTCATCATTTCTCAATATCTATCATTTAATATCGATGGACTACCAATAAGCTATAGAGTTTCAGCAGCACCAGCCAAATTGCACTCTGTTAACCTGACTGCAGTGTTTCTTTTCTGCCCTGTTTCGTAGTTGTTCCTGCTGGGTCATTATAAAAGCCACCTCTTCTTTAGAGTCCGTGGAACTGATGAGCAGGATCCGAACTAAAATACACGGGAACCTCACTCATGGGAACTTCACCCAAGATGAGTTGACTTTATTGGTAAAGTCTGACCGTGTTGCAGTGAAAAAGCTAGGTAATTATTTTGGCAGGGCGCTTCAGTATAAATTCATTAAAAATTTATAAAACTCATAACGAATATACTGTTTGGGTGCTTCAATTCAATGGGAAGAAAAGTCTTAATTTTGTTTAGACGAGGTCTTCCTCTGTATCCCAGGGTGGTCTGGAACTCACTATATAACCCAAGTAAGTCTTTAACTCATCAAACCCTTCCTACCTCAGCCTACTAAGTGCTGGACGTGGGGCTTATAGTCATGAGTCACAAGGCCCAGCCGAGAAATCATTTTTCTACATAAACTTATGCTCACATGTCCTCATGTCCTCATGGTTTTTCTACCTTTAAGAGCTTATAAATGAATATAATAACAAGGGACCATTGGTCAGCTGTGAATATCAGCACTGGGTGGTCTACGAGTAGTGTGAGAGGATCGCCTCTCTGATGCAAAAATCTGGAGGCATGGGGGGTTTCGTCATTACACACAATACTTGCCCTATAGATAATTGCTAATTTATTGACTGATTCAGCCAACCTATTCATTTTAGGAAATGATCTGGGAACTGTCCCAGATTTCCCTCATGGTTCATTTTATTTTGTAATTAGGAAAGCTTCAGTGGTAAAAGAGAAAGGCTACCAGGACACTCCATCTCTTTTTTCCTTTTCCCCAGTAGATTGCTGAAAAATCCTTTGAGTTAACACATAAGCATTAGCATGGACTGTCCTTGGCAGCAAATAAATTAAATAGCAGAGGGTTGTGGATACATAAGATTAGAGTGGGATGAAGGCAGAGTAGAGTGGAGGCCACAGGCAGAGCCCACCATCATTTTCTTGCTTGTTCGTAAAGAAGAATGGACAGATATAACTGGGTCACTTCTTGATTCTCTCTGTCACCACCAAAGGGAAACATGTCTAGATTCTGGAGGTAGTGGACACACTGTAAGGACTGGGGACTTTCACATAGACAGCCTAGACTACATCTCTTTTAACATGACAAAGGAAAAGCAGGGCTCAGTAGCCTTCCTTGGGGAAGTTAGTCCTATTTTTCAGCATGATCAGACACATTGTGGCCCTTGGTGTATTGGCCCTAACAGGCATACTGATTTTACTGAAACTCAACCACTTGAGGCCATTAGAAAGAATGACTACCGTGGAATGGAGAAGAGATGTCTGCCCACACTTTCCTGTGTTTGCATAGCAAAGTTATAATAGGGCATAGTTCTCAAGAAAGATAATCAGAAGAAGGGGCTCCATATATATTACTGTAGAACCTTTTGTGGTTTGATCTCTCCTCCCCAATGCATTGCATATATAGCACTTTAAAAAACAATTTTGAAATTTCATTGTTTACATGTTTGAAAGTGTCAAAGAATTTCTTTAGAGCGGGAAAAGCACCCCACCACCACCACCACCAATGGATAGTTTTAATGAAAAGGATAGACTTGAGGTTATAATGAAAGGTTTTGGTGTTTTTTTGTTTTTTTTTTTTCGTTTTGTTTTGTTTTTTCAAACAAAGGCTGCATTTAAAACTGGTTTCCATGAAGCTTAGTTTAATGTCCTGGTTGAAATGGTTCCCTCTTGTATGTGCTGATGGTTGTGTGCAGGGTAATAATGATGGGTCATAATGGATGCTCATGATACTTTTAAGTGCCTTTTGCCCTTGAAAATGTTGCATACATTTTTTTTTCTCTGTAGAGCCAGGAAAATGTGAAGCAGATGAAACACCCTCAAAATACAAAGGAACATATAAGTGGCCATTAACTGACCCTACTGAGACAGCCCAAGAAAGGTGCATTAAAAATGCGAATAGGAATGCCACAAGAATTTGGTATGTATCTGTCAAGCTCCAAATGGTAGTGTAAGAACAATGAGATCTGCTGCATTTGTGGGGTGTCATTTTGTTTTGTTTTTTTTTAGTCCATCTCCTTCACCCTTACTGCCAATCCTTTTTCTTTGTTTCACATTTTGGAGTTAAACATGTACGTATAATACAGATTTCAAGAGCACAAAAGAGAAAACTCACCCACAACCCCACCACCTCAACATACTTGTTTTTGGGTTGGCATGGTTTTGTTTTGTTTTGTCTCTCTCCAATCCCCAATCTGACTCTTCTTTTTATGCCTTTAAGTTTTCTGTATTGGTAACCATGGTTTACATACCAATAATGCAATTTACCCTTTCACTCAATAGTTTATCAAACATTTCCATGCTTTGCATTCATATTTTTAATGATCAATTCGAAGCCAGCCTCGGCAGCTATCTGGTTGATGGGCCATCATAATTTACTTCATCACTCTTCTATTGTTAAGTTTATCATTTCCCCTTTTAAAATCATCAGCCTTCTTTTCTTACTCTCCGCTGCTAATGGTGTATGCCAAATAACCTAAATGGGCAAGAACAGAGGGGCAGCAGGTTTCGACAGAGGTTTAAAAGCACTGGTAGAAAGCCCCATCTCTGACTGTATCATACCCACCCCTGCTTACATCTAATGAGTCAAGAAAGCAAGCAACTTTGGCAGCCACAGTTGAAGCTCATATGGAGCCTCTCTTTTGTAGCCCACTCCTTGGTATAAGGCCCTTACTAGCTTTTGCTTAGTATTATAACTGTCTCCATGCTTTCTCACAGTCCACTACTCCCCAGCACCAATTCAGTATGTCACCAGCATGATTTTCTGAAGTCTGGATGCTACCATGGCAGACTTTTGTTAAAGAATGAATTCCAAACCTCTATCACAGTCATCAAGACAGAAGGTTGCCTTTCCCATTATTGCTTGGCTTCATCCCTTCATCATGTACTATTGCCTATGAGATAATTTGTTATTGTAGACATGATGACCACTTCTGTGTGTCTCTTTCTCTGGCTGGTGACAGCAGGGAGGTATATATCCGCTCTGTACCAGGCTTAGCTCATAAATGTTTAAAGTTTTCCTTAACCAGACATGAGTACTTTATACCTGTCGTCACATAACTCCAAGAGCGAGACAGAATTGCTGTGAATTTAATATTAGATAGCACTCCTTAGGAAGTTCGAGAATAGTCTGGTTTACAAAGGAAGATCCTGTCTCAAAACAAACAAACAAACAAACAAACAAACAAACAAACAAACCCTCAACAACAACTACAAAAAGAAATCAAAACCACCACCACCACAACAAGCACATACAAAGAAAGAAATGAAAGAAAGAAACAAACAAACAAAAAACATAAAGCTTTCTTTGTGTGGTGTTTTGATAGATTCTATTTTATGTACATAACCTTTTCTTATGTTTTGTACAAGCCAGCATGTAGGACCACTCAATTACATGCTCCTGGTGAGTTTCAAGAGCCTGCCCTGTTTGTCTATGCCTCCTACTGCCATTCCTACAGTCTGTGGGTGCTCAGTGAGTGCATTGGCTGACTTGAATTTGCCTGAAGTAAATGAGGCACAGGTGAGAGTTGATAGTGAAGGACAATGAGTTACAGAGAGGATCCTTAATCACTTGGAGACATTTACCATGTAGAGACAAGACTATATTCCAATAAGAATTTCTCTTGAAAAAAGATGAGAGAGCAAAGTGATAGGGAAGAGTCATATCTAGAGGGACAAAGTCTCTTCCTTGATTCTTGGTGAGCTGAATCTTGCCCTACTCCACTCCTAGCCATTTAGCTCCTATCTGTGTTATTTAAGCCTGAAGGTTGGAAATGGACATGGGAAAGCATACCATAGGTATAGAGAAATCCTCCCCAATGCTCTTATTTAATTGATTAATTAGTTAATGATAATTATTAGTAATTTTGAGACAAGGTCTTACCCTGTATCCCAATCTGCTCTGGAACTTGTGGTGACCCTCATGCCTCAGCATCTCAAGTGATGAGGTTATAGACGTGAGCCACTGTACCCAGCTAGTACCATTTCTCTTAGTATTATCCTTGTCTCTTTCTTTAATGAGAAAGCGGGATAATTCCTCTTATTCCTCCTGTCTATTTTTTGCAGTTCCATCAACATCCAAACTGGCAAGTGTCAGTGGGAAAAGCCAAGACTTAAGCAATGCAAGTTGCTTCAAGGACTCCCTGATAAGATTGTGGATCTTGCTAATATCACCGTAAGTGATGGTAAGACAGTTCTGTGCACATCAGAGAAATCATTGGACCTCTCTTAGTTTGCCTGCTTGATCTGAGATAAGAGAGTATAGGCAGAACTCACTCTATAAAAATTTACTTTACAGCAGCCCCATTTCAGAAGCCAGGTGCTTATTGGCGGAAGAGGCATTAGGGCAGGAGTGGGGACAATCAGACATCTATGTTTTGTTTTGTAGATTTTAATTTTATATTTTTAGAATTATTTTCCTATTCCTACATATTTAAAAACTTTTAAGAGTCTGGCCTGGTGATGTATTTTTGTAATTCTAGCAATTGAGAGGCTGAAGCAGGAGGAGCTTGGCTTCAAGGCCACATAGTGAGAGATCCTGTGTCAAAAAATTAAAATAAAATAAAACAACGACAATACACACATAATCACAAGACTTCCAAATCAGATACTTATCAATTATAGAGAAAAAGACTGCTCTAATGGATATTACATGTGTCACAATATTTTTCAAATAGATTATTCAATTTTATAAACAATTTGGGTAGTAGTGTAAATTAGTCCTAAGCATGAATTCTGAAAAGTGGGATTGATTGAGTCAATCATATGAAGTTAAATGTTCTTTTTAATAGTTGGATCAATTTATAATCCAGTTCATAGGGTATGAAAGTGCCTGGTTTAGAACACTTTCATTAACAGAACATGTTATCAAACTTTGGAGTCTTGGGAAAATTGATTAGCAAAACCTGATATCTCAAAATAGTGTAAAAACTTTTTTTTTTTTTGTGCGTGGTGATAGTTACAGGTTCTTTGTTTAACAACTACGATCTAGCGGGTCATTTTATTAATGAGTTTTCCCTCTCTAACTTGGTTGTACAACCATCATTGTGAAACCTATAAGGCAGAATTGTTACAAAGAATCATTTCAATTATAAAAAGGATTCTTGTACTTGTTAACAAAACCCCTATTTCTCCTTCCCTGTAGTTTCTGGCAAATATCAATCCACTTTCTACCTGTATGACTTTTGCTTATTGTAGCCATCTCAAAATGCTTGTGAAGATTTTTCATATTGTAGCATGGGCCAGTACCCCATTTTTTTAATGGATGAGTAATATTATATTAAATTGATCTATTACTCATCAATTGATAAGCATTTGGTTGTTTTTGTGTCGGGCTATCATTTATCGACAGGTTGTGAGTATTGTAGTACAATGACTGGTAGAAATGTTTTCTTCTCTTAGCACATACTAAAGAGTACGATTGTGGTCACCTGGTCTACTTAGTCTTTGAAGGAACTGCAAAACTGTTTTTCACAACCGCTGAGCCATTTTGCATCTCCACTGACACCATTTAAAGGTTCCAATTTTCTCATGCTATAAACACTTGTCCATCTTTTAGTTACAGTTGGTGGCAGTACCTCCCCTCCCTAGTCCATACACTTTTATTCTGGATTTTTAGTAATTTGTGTCTTTTCTCTTCTTGCCCTGGTCAGTCTAGAGAAAAGGATTTGAATTTTTCATAAAATCTTGCTTAGAGGGAGAAGCAGATTTATAACAATATCTAGTCTTTTGAGATAGAGTCTTGTTAGGTATGGCCTGTATCCAGCTCTGTAGCTCATGATGGCCCTGAATTTTTGATGCTCTTGCCTCAGCTTCCTAAGTGTGGGGATCCCAGGAATATGCCACTATGTCCTGCAACAACAATAGTGAAGAAAATACAGAGCTTCTCTGTGTGCTTGCAACACGTTCACAGTCCTCCCTCACTGTCACTAGGGAGATAGCTCTGTTATAATGAATGACTCTACCCTGACACAGTTGACCCTTTATACTGGAGTTCATTCTTGACACTGTCTTAGTTAGGGTTTCCATTGTCGTGAGAAAAACAACAAGAACAGAAACAAAAACACCATGACCTTTTCAAGTTGGGAAGGAAAGGGATTATTTGAGTTTACAACTCTCATTGAGGAAGTCAGGGCAGGAACTCAACACAGGAACCTGGAGGCTGGAAATGAAGCAGAGGACACGGAGAAATGATGCTTACAGGCTTGCTTAGTCTGCTTTCTTCTATATTCAGGGCACTTGTCCAGGGATGGCACTACTCAGAGTGGGATCAGTCATCCCACACTCAATCACTAATTTAAAAAAAAATGCCTGACAGTATTACCTACAGGCCAAGGTGATGCACACATTTTCTCAATTGATCCCAAACAACTCTACCTTGTGTAAAGTTGACAAAAAAAAACTAACCAGGACAGTGCATACTTGTAACCATAGGTATCCATAGGTATAAATGGGTATGACATCTATCTTATTTAGGGATACTATTGCTGCAATGATATACCTTGACCAAAAGGCAAGATGGTAAGGAAAGGGCTTAATTGGCTTACACTTCCACAGTGCTGTTCATCATTGAAGGAAGTCAGGACAGAAACTCAAATAAGGCAGAAACCTGGAGGCAGGAGCAGATGCGGAGACCATGGAGAGGTGCTGCTTTTTGGCTTGGTCCTCATGGCTTGCCCAGCCTGCTTTCATTTAGAACCCAGAATCACCAGCCCAAGGGATGTAAGGATCAGCATTTTTCTCAACTGAGGCTATTTCCTTTAAGATAAGTCTATCTTATGTATCAAGTTGACATAAAATTAGCCAGCACAACATGTATCCACAGAATCACCCCCTTAAAGCCTCCTTGTAGTACATTTATTCATTTCTTTCTCCCATCTAGTCTCTGGCACTCAGTGTTTGTTTGTTTGTTTGTTTATTGTCTCCATGGGTTTGTTTTGCCCAGAATGATATATAGTTGAAATTATGCAATGTGTATGCTTTTCAGGTTGACTTCCTGCCCTTGGAAGTGTATATCTCCATTCCCCTATGTCTTGTTATGGATTTCTAACTTGTTTATTTTTAGTACTGGTTAGTATTCCATTGCCTCAATGTATGACAGTTTATCCATTCTCCTACATCTGGTTTGCTTCTAAATTGTTCTCTTGCTCCACATCCTTTGTAGCATTTGCTGCTGTCAATATTTTGGATTTGAGCCACTCTAATAGATGTGGACTATTACCTCATTTCTTCTCTAATTTGGAGCTCCTTCATAATGTATGAATTGAGTATCTTCTCACATGCTTATCTGTCATTTACACATCTCTTTTGGTGAACTATGTTTCTGCTATCACCCCAAACCTCAGCCAAATGTATTTGTGTGGTGAAATCCTAATCTCAAAGTGATTGAGGCATTCTGAAGGTTATGAGTGTTGGTCCTTAATGAATAGGATTTGTGTTCCTACAAAATAGGCCTGAAAAACCTTGTTTTTAATCTTCCACCATATATGTTTACAGTGAGAAAAGAGCTATCTTTGAACCTGGAAGTAGGGCCTGAAAAATACAGGAAATTTGCTTTTCTCATAGGATTTCAGTCTCTGCATAACTTTGTAGATGTGGCTAGGTGTACTGCTAGATTGGGTCTTCTCCTTAATGAGTAGCCATCGATTGAGGCATAGGTGCAAAACACCTTACAGAAGGACCAGAGAATTGGCCAGAAGTCAGAGCACTTCTTTGCCTTGTCTTCCTTATGGAACATTTTGCATTTGAGATCTTTAGCAAAGAATGTGTGGCAGAGTTAGAAAAGTCAGCCCAACTCTGATGTCCTAGATGGGAAATCATGAAGCAAGGCAGGAGGTGGTGCTGCAGGCTGGAGGAGTGGGAGGAGAGATAGAGGGCTTGTCTCATGCTGATCTCCTTCCTTCTGAGTGACACATTTGCTTTAGACATGCTAATAAGATTTTCTCTTGTAGGAGAGAAAGTTAACAAATAACCATAACAAGAACAAAAGCATTGCACTGGGTTCAGAATTAAAAAAAAAAATAACTGAGAAGCTGCCACAGAGAAAGAGAACAGTTAATAGATGGATGGTGGCTCTAATGAATAGACTAGAAAGTAAACTACAAGCTTATTAACTCTGGAGGAATCCTCTTCTTTTAAGTTGGGACCGTAACAACGATGAATAAAGTGTAAAGGATAGAAATGAACTCATATTGAAACAATTTGTTTGCATTTCTTTTTAATTTTGGTGACAAACATTAGATATCTTAGTAAGAAAAAGCTCTGTAGTTCTCCCATGTAAATACGTGAAAAACAAAACAAAACAAAACAAAAACGTGCCTTATATCACACCATTAGAAAAAAGGATTCTTTTTTCAAAGTTCTTTGAGTACTGTCTGGTTCCCTGGTTTTGTTATTCACTTGATACTGAAGATGCACCAAGCTAGAATGAAGTGGGCTGTAGTTTCTCACCATCATGGCAGGCAGGACAGTGAGCGATTGACAGAGAATAGGGGATGTTGTAGAGCTCAGGTATGCATAAATGACTATCATGTGCAAGGCTCTGGGTTCCACCTTCTGCTTAAGGCAGAATGATTGGACAACACTGTTAATTTACTCCTACCATGTGGAGAAAAAAAAGAGAGGCTGCAGAGGCCGTATCAAAAGGTCATGCTAAAGGACTCAAGGGGAAAGAGAAGCTTATATTGTCTCTATGTTTCCATGTTTAATCGGTGTGAAGGTTCTAGTATGAATAACCATTGTGTGAGGTTGTTTAATCCTTTGCTGATACAGTCCATTCTCAAAATGCCAAATATTATTTCATTCATCTTTTCCCACAGGAGCTGGATTGTGGCTGCTTAATGTGGTAGAATTTGACAATAGCAACACTGTCAATAATGGGCCTGATGTTTTAATTTTTTAATTCTTCTCTCATACACTACATCGGAGTTTCAGTTTCCATTCCCTCCACTCCTCCCCGTATCCCCCCCCCCCCCCCCCCGCCTCCCTCAGATCCACCCCTCCTCCAGTTCCCTTCAGAAAAGAGCTGGCCTCCCAGGGATATCAACCAAACACACATAACAAGTTACAATAAGACTAGGCACATACCTTCATACCAAGGCTGGAAAGGAGGAACTCAGTAAGAGGAAAAGGGCCCCAAAAGCAGCTGAAAGGAGCTCATGTTTAAGAGACTGTACCAAGAAAAACT